CTTCTTCTTCTTCTTCTTCTTCTTCTTCTTCTTCTTCTTCTTCTTCTTCTTCTTCTTCTTTTTCAAGCGGCCCTTTCAGGCCCCTTGTCTTCCCCGAGAGTCCCCGCATAAACCCAAGGTCCTGTATCTTCATCCTCTGGTGTCATGCCGGTGGCGGGCCATATTGCGGCGGGCACCAGCTTACTGATGAAAATAGCCCAACTCTTTATGTAGACATCTGGTATATGTACTATCTGGCCGAAGGAGGCGCCGCATATGAACCTGGGCATGGGCGCGCAGACGGCCCAATCTGTGGAGCGGCGTCTCTCGAACCTAACCGGCACTGGTCAGCAAATGGCCCACAGTGCTTAGAAATTGCTTAGAACCAAAATGCCTGTTGCCCTCTTAGAGCTGTGGAAAGTGGATCTCAAGGCGGCCCACCCCACCGATTCGGTCTGGCCCAACTACCTAGAACAGCTGGCTTTTTCACGTGGTTTTTCTCTCTTTCCCCGTTGATAAAACAAAAGCCGAAGTATTGAACTATTCCTTGGGATCCTGGACACGGGCACCCACCATGCAAGACCAAAACACTGTATTACCTGAGCACGCTGCACTTACTTAATAGAGCCGGCCCCGGATTCAAAAACCTGCAATTCCGATAGAATATATAGAAGGCTTATTATTTGTTGGTAATTTTATGTTATGATCTAATTTTACATATATCTTAACTATTCCCGCCTAGCGGGGGAATTAGATTTAACATGTCTTACATAATGATAGAATATAATAATTAAAGAATCGAATATTATATAGAAGGATTATTAAATTCAATGAAGTTTTACAATTATTGTACCATCGGATTAACGAATAAACTGACTGAATCCATCTTCAGTGACGCCCGCAGTGTATGCTTCTCAGATCTCAGCCATCCTGCTCCAGCCGTGGCCAGTCTACTGCGCATTAACTCCGAAGCCGCGATATGCCCATACATGAACAAACAGGGTAATTCATTGATTAAACGCAAGCTTAATTGCACTTGTGTATTTTTCCTTTCTACAATTGAAATGGTTTAATCAAGGACCAGGAGATAAAGAACAAATGTACGTCTTGCCGCCTTGTGAAAGGAATTATGGTCAAGGGCCCTCAGGAAAACATAGTCTACGGGACAATAACATTAAGTTTTATTCAGGTGGTTGACATTAATATGGGCAGAAGTCTTCTTGAGGACATCCTCTTTGGGAGATATTTCATGAATTGATGCTCGCGCCTTCTCATCTGAGCCGATGTTGCGATCTATTATAGTTTTTTCTTAATCGTTTTTCGTTAGTGGTGGGGTTTTACATCTCTCCAGTGACACCCTATCATAATATGTTTCTTTGAAAAATTCAATTACAATATTAAAGAGTTTAGTAGCATGATGAAACATCGACTTCAATCTTAAAGGGAGATCCAGACGAGCGGTGTATAGACTAACGGTGTATAGACAAGCGGTGTGTAGAATAACGGTGTATAGACTAACGTTGTTTAGAATAACGGTGTATAGACTAACGTTGTTTAGACTAGCGGTGTATAGACTAGCGGCGTATAGACTATTGGTGTGTAGAATAACGGTGTATAGACTAACGGTGTGTAGAATAACGGTGTGTAGAATAACGGTGTGTAGAATAACGGTGTGTAGAATAACGGTGTGTAGAATAACGGTGTGTAGAATAACGGTGTATAGACTAACGGTGTGTAGACTAACGGTGTGTAGACTAACAGCGTATAGAATAGCGGTGTATAGAATAACGGTATATATAGCCTAAAAGCCTTTGCTCGTGTTTATTCGGAGTGTCACGTGCAGCAAGTGGCACAGCTCTGGCATTAGCGGAGTTCACGCATAATCAAGACCCGTGTCAGAGCGCATTTCTGAATCTCCCACTGAAGGCTTCGGCGATAACACACCCGTCGTGTCTGCAAGCCGGTGGCGGCCTACTACAGACGTGCCCCTGCTACAACGGCCTGCGGCACATCCATGGCAGCGCTCTCACCATGTGCTTTCTAATCTCTGTATAATCTCATTTATATTTACAATACGCTCCCCCGGAGCTGATCCACAACTTGCACTCTAAGCCTTCATGGGCTCGTCAGGAAACACAGGGCCCACCGTGGGCTGGGCCATGAACCTTTGCATCATCATACCCACACCCTCGATGATACCCAAGAAACACGCACACGAAATGGCCGAGTTCCTCGTGTGCTTCCAGCCACCTCTGATGGCCAAGGCACCACCGGTGAAGAAGCCGGCGATGATGGCGTTCCAGGCATCCTCTCTTTTTCTGATGCCCTTCACTGTGCAGTCGAAAGTGGAAAAAAGCCCTCCCCAAACTCCGAAGTTTCCGCCGACTACCGGAGCTCTGGCTTTGATGGCACTCATACTGCCGTATGTTCTCTCACCGTAAGGCGAGTTGCGGAACCCTTTGATTCCGTGCCAAAAGCACCCGCCAATAACACCCATGGAAAACGCTCCTCCGAAATCACTCAAGATGACGACTGGGCAGGGGTCCCTCGTGTGGTCTGCGGACATATTTGCTGGTGTGTTTAGATGGTGTGGTGAGTATGAAGAGAGAGCAGTGGAGCCGGTGATTTTTTGCCGTTTTTTTTCGCCCCTGCTGTGTGCACGTCTGGGGCCGTCCGGGCCAAGAGGCCCCAGCTGCAAACGACTGAAGAGGAAAAACCTGCTATTTACGCGAAAGTACAGAAACCCGTGCTTGCCTTTCGGGAGCGATGGGCACTTCTGTTTTCTGGGCCAGGATTTCGGGCGTGCTGTGCCGTGGCCCAATTGTCACTATGGACGGTCGCGAAACAATCGCACTGCCAAACATGACTCCACCTCAGAACTTGCGATGTCCACCTTAGAATTTGCAATGTCTACCTTAGAATTTGCAATGTCTCAGAAGTTCTGCGATTCGGCGGCCCAGACCAGATTGGGGCACATGATGAAGTTGGGAGCGTCTTCCGGTATTTCGTATTTGTGTGGCGTCTGTGCGAGACACCCCGCTTTATAAGGTGCGAGTGTATTATCGGTTGGTAGTTCCGTCGAAGGACAGCTTCTCCCACGAGTGCTTTGTTTTGATTTATTGTAAAACACTCTGGATTTTCTGCTGCAATTCTATCCATTGTCAGAATCTCGGTTCCGACATTGGAGAAGCTGGTCTGGGAGATTGCCATTTCAATGGCGTGATAAGGACAGTGAGCCGGGGTCAATGAAACCAGTAGTCTTTTGTAAATTGCATGGAGAAGCTTCTCGACTGAAAATCAACACCAATACATTTTGGATTTGGTGCTTTTCATTCATATCTAGCGTGAAACAGTGTGCTGCAGTGAGGGGGTTTCCAAACGCAATATCGGTACTTGCTTTATGGAAGCCTCGGCACGGATGATCCAACATTTTCCTGTCGTCTGAATAATGCTTTGTCTTCAAGCGCATCATCCTCCCTACATGATTCAATATACACCACGATCTGGGTCGCATGGGCCTGAACCGAGCAAACCGAAGAAGTCCATGGTAGCCTGGCATGAAAAAACGCCGGTCGGGTCCTTTTTTGCCACACGAAAGCATTGTTACTCTAGCCGTGATTTGCGGTGGCCGAGAATTAACCGTCTCTTGAGATTTGTTACTTACTGAGACATTGCCCAAGTCCTGAGTGAGAGCCCGTGCAGCTCACTCAACAGTGACTACATGGCCTTTAATTGATAGTCGTTCCTTTGTGGATCATTGGCTACCTGTACTTTTGTAAATCATTGACTAGTTTAAACGCTAATCGTGCCGAGGGATAGCACTGGTGTGCCAACCAGTTGCATGACTCAGGCAAGATGTCTTAATTAATGTCTTGTTGCGCGTTTCTATGCGGCGGTCTATAATATTACCCACGCTCCAAGGGTCCTCTTTTCCATGTATAAATAAGTTCAGTCAGTGTCTCCCAAATGCTTAACCTTCCATCTCCCGACCCGAATCGTAACATACCTTATCCACCTATCCTGTCTCGCCCGTCTGTGGTTTATAATACCATAGAGACCAGTTCTTTCTGCCAATCGCAACAGCAAAAGGCTCAGTTCCCGGTCTCCATTTTTCAATGAGCAAACACTACATCTTGGCGTAGTAAGACGTTATGTCGTACTTCTCGCGCAAATGTGCTCCCCGCTTCTTCAAGTACACCACAAGTAAAACAGCAGCGGTAACTACACCAGCGTAGATGCTGAATAGTACCCCCGCGCCCACGGCACTGGTGGCCGGCTCCGTGACAAAAGTGGCTGTAGCGGCCAAGATCTGGCGCATGAGGTTATTGAGTGCTACGCCCGTGGCGCCCCGGCCCGGAAGTAGATCGACCAAGTACGTCATCGTGGCACCCATGATAATCATGGCACTGATCCCAAGCAAAGCGCTTCCAACTAGAGGCGTCACCCAGTGCTGTTTTTTTTCGATGCACCAGCCGAAAATCAAGCACGCAGGCGGGTACACCGCGGCCGCCAACGCGATGTTCCACGAAAGACGGAACTCGGGCCGGAGCTCGCCGTTGTTGCGAGCCGCACTGCGTTTGATGAGCCAGTCGTTCCACCGGCCCCCGTAGATCGAGGCCAAGATGAAAGTCACGGAGTTGGGCACATACATGAGTCCGATGATGACGGGTGAGAAGTTGTAGGGCGCCTCTGCGTACGCGTTGGAAATGGTGATGTTCAAGAAGTAGATGCCTGTGGCCCCAATACCGCAGTATGCTATGGCAAGCAACACTTGCGGGCACGTCAACAACACCACGGCGTGCATGGGCCGTATCGTGTAGTCGTAGGCATACGAGGCCCAGGTTTGTTTTTCTCGAAGCTGTGGGGGTGCTTTGTTCCGAAGCGCTAGAGGAGCTTTTCCATGGGCCTCCCCCGATTCTTTCTCGGATTGGACCACCTGCGGGTCACACGCTTTCATGGAACGGAATGACTGGCTGGTTAGATGCCGCAGCACCGTAGGCATCAACACATCCACCGGCATCTCCTCAAAAACCTGGTGCCCGAGAGACAGATTGCCGGAAAGGCTGACAGTTCTGTATAGGTCGTGCAATTCTAGACCCTCGTCTTTCTGCAGTGCTTCTTGTACCATGGACATCATCACCTCGGCATTGTTTCGGGGCAACGTTTCCGGGAGAAAAAAGACAATCAACACAAAGCTGAGTCCACACACAATCACCATGATCCACATACTGGCGCGCCAGCCCCAGGCCTCGGCCACTGCGCCTCCTATGATCGGGGACATGAAGGGCCCTAGAAGGGGGCCCAAGTAAAAAAGGCCCAAGGCCGTTCCCCGCTCCTCCTGGACGTACAAGTCCGAGATCGTCCCGGCGCCACAAGACTGGACGGCCGATGCCCCCACACCCGCTAGTAGTCTGAACGCAATCAATGAGCCAATGGACGGCGCCACGGCACATGCGATCGAGAACGCAAAGAACCACGCAAACGAAAGCACGTACACAGACCGGCGGCCGTGCCGCTCGGAGAAATTTGTCCACCACATGGGGAAGATTCCCAACGATAGAAGATAAATGCCCACGGAAATGTTCACGGTGGCGACGGACGTGTCCAAGTCCACGTACAAATCCTTGACCGCAGGGAGCAAAATGGTCGTGCCCATTGGGCCCGAGACCGCCGCGAACGCCACTATGAGCACAACAGATATTTTTTGCAGAGTTCTGTAGCTTCGCGGGTCATAGTATTCGGGCAAGATGGTGAGTGAAGAAAGAAGGCCTCTTCGCTCGCTTTTTGGGACACGGCCGGCAGAACGAGTCGAGCCTGTCGAGGCCTTCGATTCAACTGCCTGTAGACTTTTTGGTCTTGCGGTTTCTGGGTCAGTTTTCGGATCTAGTATATCTTTTTCTAGACACTCGTCGTGTTTTTTAGGGATCTCCTCTTTCGACGCACGAAGCGACTGCGGGTCTGGATGTATTGGCATCTCAAAACGCAGGGGCCTGTCTGCTGTTGACCTTGTAAGAGACTCGACATCGGACATGATCTGGCTGGACTGTTTATTAGAAACCTTTCGGGCTAGTTTTTCCGAATGGCTCTAGTGCACATTGCGAGATTTGTATACCCGAGAAATACGTCACTCAATCGGCACGGGACCATGGAGTGCTGCATTTCATGCACATTAGTCATCGCGGCAACTTAGCCGGCCGCAGGTCTGCTAAAACCGACTGTGTCAAACAATCTCGTGGACCTATGCACAATTTGATTTTGACTCGTACTCCTCATTCCAATTTTTGAATCTGGATCTTTTGGGGATCAAGAAAAAGTCTCGATAATAACAGGCAATATTTTTGTCACTCAAGATATGGGAATGACTCTGGCACAATCTTTCGCTTAGTCCCATGCAGTATGGCCTCGGATTTATTTCCAGATCGTGATTCACATCTGGAAATCCGAGCGGCACTTTGCCAAATCTCCGAGAACTCATGGCGCTCTCGTATAAGAAACGTCTAAGTCTTTCGTGCTATTATATTGAGATTTATTAAACCGTTCATACTGGGTTTTGACACCTGTACATCTAGTTAGGTACCGGTTCGGAGAAATGTCCATATCCATTTTTTCATGTATTAGAACTTTGGCTTTATTGCTCAAGCAGATATGTTGCACAAGATAGATTTGAGGTGCCATGAGCATAAAGCACTCTGTAAAGCTGTAGATTGTTATAATTAGTATTTTTTATGAGTCGTTTGACATTCACTTTTTACGTTGCAAGTTCGCGAAATAATAAAAATAGGTAGGACGTAAGGAGAAAGCGCAAGAAGTTTTGGGGGAAGATTATTCATATTCTCGCCCAATATGACCCTTTAGTATTGAATATAATTCTGATACTAAATAATAATATATTTCTAAATTCATCACGCTTATTTAATATTGATCTCCGATCTAAAGATTCCGCTCCACTTTCGGGTAGTCTGCAAACGAAAAGAAGTAAGAGGAAGTGAATGCTATGTCAGATAGTTAAGTCTCACTTAAGTAACCCAAATCATCTGATTTTCTCGATGTTAAATAACGTCAGTCAACCGGTAATGAGATAGACTTGTTGTGCTATCCATAATGCTTTGTTGATCTTCAAGTAATTTTTTAAAGAAAAGGTAGAACCTCACTTTGACTAGGCAAAAGTTTAGCTTTTTGTCAGGGTTCTTCAATCAAGCTATAAATTGCCCTCGAAAAAGTGGATAAATGAACAGTTAGGACCGGAAAGTCGTGACCCATTTCGAGGGGGGTTCTCACCCAAGATTCATTCATTCTCATTGACAACAGCCAAAGCTTTCGCGGATGTTGATGGGAGTGTGTACTGGGGGTTGCAAAATATTGCATCTTAGCCAGCATCTTGACGGCAATATATACAGAATACGCGAAAGCCGCATCAAAACCGCAAGATTCTGTGCCCTTAAAGCCAGCTCTGTCGCTTGACAAGATGCCTCAAAAAAGTCACATTAAGCTAGGATTTTAAAACTAAATTCTGAAAATATGTGAGACTGACCAAGGGCTTGCGGATGCCTTGTCATATAATATCCAAAGAGAGACTACAGGCAGGGTGCCTGCAGCGAAATGTGCATGTGGTTTGTTGCCATTCGTATAGTTGTAATTCCATGCTTTCCCTCGTAGACTCTCTGGAATTGATATTTTCTCAAAATATTAGAAGCGAGGCAGATTCACCTTGTCAATGGAAATAGAAGATCTGGTAGTGCTTGCGAGAAGCTTCCCTGACGAAATTACATGGACTCGGGTTTCAAAAGAGTCGAAAGGAATGATGAGGAATGATGGTTTATTAAAAATCATGAAGCGACTCATCTACAACCTATATCTGAGCTCACTTGTTTTCCGAAGTTGCGTCAAAAATGATCCTATTGACTTTGTCAAGGCTGACGGTGGAACTTCTTGTGGAGCTCGAGTTGTTGTTTCTATCGGAAATTCTATCATACTCTTCGTCGCTTCCTTCGAATTGATCATTGTCTTCGAGGTTTCCGCTAGCAAGAATCTCATCAACATCTTCAGGCGTAAGCTTGTCAGGCATCGATGAAGACGCTGCAGCATGTTTTTCGGAGGTTTCCTCTAAACCTGTTTTGATCTGGACGGTGTTTTGAACTTGTTCTCCAAGTCCATCTGTGTCTTCGTGAGCAGTCTCAGGATCAAGCGCGCCTGGCTTCTGACTCATACTATCGTCATGCTCATCATCGTCCACGATGGCGAAATCAGACAATTTTTGCACTTTCCGTGCCTGTGCCTCCATGTTATGAAGCTCTAGATAGTCGGTATCGAGGAGTGGGCCCGTGAAAACATTGGCACCCCAAGTCTTGTACCCAATGAGAGCTATAATGGCAAGAATAACGAGTACAACACTGGCGTAGTTCATGTTTCTCCAGGAAATATCCTTGATGACTGGCGGAAGACACAAGATGAAGAACGACAAAAACACCCATGCTACCGACAATGCATTGATAATCCAGCCGAAGTACTTGAGTCTGAACGCAGACCCTTTGATCTTCTTTCTTTTGTTGAGCATGAGGCAAAGAATGGGGATCCCATTTGCTAGTGCTAGGGATACTACCGAGGCACCCATGAATGCATTGAACGCGGATGGGGAGATCAAGGCGAGGAAGGAGAAAACGGCGATGACAGCCATTGACAAGAACAAGGCGTTTTTGGGCAACGTGTATTCCTCCACGGAATCCACCTGGGTCCAGATTTCCTTGAAAGGTAAGCCACCGTCACGGGCAAAAACGTAGGTACTTCTGGACGCCGTGGTGAGGGCACCAATGGCCTGGAACATGACAGTGCCTATGAGAAGAACGATTAAAAGAAAGGAGACCACATAAGATTGCGTGGCAGTTTTGAACACCAAGTCAATGGGCATGATCTCAGGATTCGAGTCCAAGAGCACTGTGAGAGACGGGAGGATGATCAACACGGGAACAATAAAGAAGAGCCCCTGCAACACAGCCATGGAAACGGCACTAACAGCCCCTTTGGGCATGTTTTTCTCGGGTCTTTTGACTTCATCTGTCATGGAAAAAAGCATGCCGTAGCCTGTCAACGTGAAGCACGAGCTCTGCATGCCCACCATGAAAGCAAGCGGGTCAGGCCAGCCTGAGCGGGAGTTGTCGAAATGCGTCAAGATATGGGACGCGGAGTTAGTCTTTTTAGCGAAAATGAGCAACAAAATGCCGATGACAATCACGGTGCCGATCGACCAGAAGATGCACAATTTGTTGATGCGCTCCAAGTGGCGTGAAAACTTGTAGTTGATGAATCCCACAAGCGTGAGCATGATGAAATACACGCCGAGCACAAACAGCATGTCTTGCTTGTAGTAGACGTCTTTAAGCCCGAAGATCGAGAGAATGAATTGCGACCCGGAAAACAAGATGCTGACAGCGTATGTCCAGTTGCCTATCAAGAGAAACCAGCCGGTGAACCACGAGCTGATCAGTGAGTATTTTTCGTGGCTTAAAATGGCACTAAAATGGTATACGCCTCCTGCGGTCGGAAACTTGGCGATGATTTCACTGAGACTAAGCACGACGCATAAACTGAAGAACCCCACCACCAACCAGCCGTAAAGAATGGTCACACTGCCGCCGTCCACCAAGGAAATCCACAAAGTGGAGCTAAGCCCAAAAGGAACACCCATCAACGTAAAGCCTAAACCCACGACAGACGTCACTGTCAACTTCCGCTGCAAATCCTGCTTATACCGAAAGTGCTCCACGTGCTCGACCTCGTCGTCGTCCATGTCCACAATCATGTGATTAAGGTTTGCTGGCGCCATTTCCCGGATCCGGTGGAACCCGCTGGCGACGTAGGACCCCCGCCTGCCCTCCGGTGGATTATGGCTCATTTATCATGTAATTTTCACTCCAAAGAGGCCGGGCTGTATGTACTTTTCGGAACCACGGTTATGCCTGTAAAATTCCGCAAGTGTGCTCCCAAGAGAAAAAAGGCCAGCAGCACCAGTTCTTCGTTTACAGCTGCAGCTATCTGGCTTTCGGGTTGCATATACAAAAGTGAAGGTTTCGTTAGGCTCCGCCTGGCCATCTTCATCGGAGTGTAGATAAGCATTTTCCAGTGCGGCGAGAGAGCCAGACGTAGTTCTCTAGATAGGATATATCTTGGCGTCATAATGACAGGTCGAAGGTCGAGCCGGAAATGACGTTTTTTATTTTTCATCTAGTGACATAAACGGAAGTCCAGCTCTTTGTTCAGCACAGGAAATGACCAGCAGCAAGCAAATTGGCATGGTGACTGCTGGCTGGGTGAGCAGGTCACATGACCCAGTGCCGGTGGCGAATGAGAGCACAGGCCGACCGTCCGACGGCGGAAATCAAGGAAGTCCCGTCAAAATTTGAAAAAACAGGAAATTGGTCTCACAAAAATTTCCATGAATTTTGTGCGAGTGGCCGAGGCACGACACTAGTGTTTTTTTAGTGTTTTTTGCCCGAAGCGAAAGCCTAATTATGAACGTGCGCCCTGGCTGCGGGCTAGCATTGGAATGCATGTCGCATGTTGACATAAGAAATGGCGGATTGGAATGTGATTGTCTTTGCATCACAATTCAAACGATAAAAACGCCTAATAATACAGATGACCAGCGCATGAATCCCCGAGTGGTTGGTCTGAGGTTGGTCTGACCTTGTCGGCCAATGACTAATATGAAATACATCATATTGTGAAATACAACATAATATACTAGTAAACTCATGACTCAGATTTATTTGATTGATGGGTTCCGGATAGCATTTTTCCACTGTAAAACTGTCTACTGTGGCGGAGGAATAGAAAAAAACACCTGGTTGAAGAGACTAGGCAACTTGCGAAAACGCCAGCAAGACTGATCTTGAGAGTCGAGGCGGGAGCACATGGTTTCCCTCAAACGAAATATCTGAATCTGCTTTGCAGTGAAGTAAAAGGAATCTTTGTTTGTGTTTTCAACCTGATTGCGATGTTCAAGGCATGTACCAACCGCGTGAATGCTGAATATTATCAGAGTAGAGTGCAGTGAGAAAAATCAAACCAAACTAGTCGTCACATGATTCAAGCAGCTATGTGTCAAGAGATAATCCAGAAATGCTTGATCTGTATACCAGTCAAGATATTCCAAAAATGCTTGATCTATATACTAGCCAAGAGGGCTAAACAAGTAAGCAGGCTTTCAGTGATGACAAAGGAGCAGTGAGGAATGCCTACATTCAAGTATTTAGGCAGAAGTCTTCTTTTCAAAAACTTGGATGGCGAGCTTTCCCTGGCGTTGTCAGAAGACGTACGTCAAAGAAGGGGCCATATTCCTGCGCTATTCGAAGCTGCGTGGCATACGTTATATGATATCCTTCCCAAAGTAGTATGTTTCGATTACGGCCACAACTTGACGAGCTTCAGAATTGCAGGGTACACTAAATATCTTATCACTTAAGACATTTGGGGCATAAAACTGCCTTGGAGACAAGCGATTGATTCAGAGATGAACCTTTCTCATATCTCAACAGCTCACATGCATATCCGCGTCTAACAAGAAGACACGACAATATATTTGATACCTAGCATGATGTCGGTATATGAGTGCATTTATACTAGTGTGTGAGTTATAAGAAGCGTTTGGCAGAAACCAATGAGCATGTAGTAGTTCAAAGAATCTGCAAGAAAAGTCACGATGGACTCATCATGTTACTGATGCAAACTTCAATAAAGCACAGCTTATATCTGGATGCTATAAAGCGCACAGAAGGAGGCCAGAATATGATATGCAAGATCAATAGCTAGTCCAAGGAAGAACAAAACAAAGCTCATTCATATACATTTGTATTAGTATGTGAGCGCATTTGTATTAGTATGTGAGCGTGTTATATCAGTGTACGAGCAAACTAGTCAGTTAAACGCAAACCTAATGGATTCTCTGATTTCGTGCTAGCACGCGTAGCACAATTAAGGGCACAACGAGCATCCGTGGGGCAAACACTCCTGGAATTTGGCGAGTGTTGCATGAAAGACAAAACAGGGTTAGTCCATATCTCAGCGTCATGGCAAAAACAATGAGCGTTGTTGCTCGTTTGCATCGTAGTGAATTATCATCGACTGGACGTATGTCCACAGCCCAAGGAGAAGTGCCAGAAGCCAGGGAGAAATGCCAGAAGCCAAAGCAAAATGCCAGAAGCACAAGAAAATGCCAGAACCTTAAAAAGAAGCCCTGGTGCGAAGCAACTTCTCGCCAAGCCCTAAGAATCGCTCCAGCTTTCGTCCTCCCCATCCGCCTCTTTCTTATTCATCACAGGCAAAGCCACACTGTACTTTGTCCTGATGAGAACACTGTGCAAGTTGTCCACACTGCGCAAGAGCCCTCCCACAGGTCTGTGTTTTTCTTCCACGAGATATGAAATGACGTCGTCGATGTTGGTGAGGATCTCCGACACTTTCCAGTTGGTGAACCCCACCACGATGGACACACACGTGCCTCCTGCCGGGGGGATGAAATAGGTGTTTCCCACGATCGACTTGAGCTGTGCCCTGACGTATTTGGGCTCACACAGCTGGTCAATGCGCCCGTGTGTTTTTTTGCCCGGCACCGGCAAGGACATCAATATCTTGAACGGCACCTTCTTGTTTTTCGCGTAGAACTGCGCTTTCAAGATGTCCGGGAGGTGCTTGTGGATGCGCGCGTCGCCGACAATCACGTCGTTCTCCTTGAAGAGGCGCAACAAGGACTTTGCGTTGTTCCCCATCTGCTTGGCCTTGGAGAACGGAATGATATTGTTGAAGAGGTCTTCTGTAGGAGAACCCTTTTCCGTGAGCGGCTGGCGGAACGAGCCGTCACGTGAGATGAGGGCAATGGACTTCTCGCCGAGTTGGCTGAGCTTGTGCGAGATGGGAATGATCCGCGGCGTGTAGTCTTTCACCTTCACAAGGTGGATTTTGGTGTTCAACACCAAGTGCACGGGCTGGAACTCCGGGGCCACGTTCCCGGTCTGGCCCGGGATCTCGCCGGTCCGGAGAAGCAGCTCCTCATGCTCCTTCTTGGTGTGGGCACGTAGTGCTTTGATGGATCGCTTGGCATTTTCGCGGGCCTCGTCGCCTAGAAGAAAGGGCATTGTTGGAGTCTGAGATGAGAGGCATCGCATGGCCGCGCATAGATGGAAAAGCGGCGCGGCACGTGACGGCCGCGCACGTGACGGAAATACACGGAGATGCACGTGACCAGATGCACGTGACCAGATGCACGTGCCCGAGATGTGCCCGGGCTTCCCCGCAGCCGCCGCCAGGCCACTCTTCTCCGCCAGTCTGGGACCCTCTGCGCCAGGCCCACAAGACAGCCCCGGCGCCTATATAGTACGTAACTCCCGCAAGCACCACCACGCGCCTGCACACAGCAGCATCCCCCATGCATCTCCCGCAGCTCGTCGTGGCGCTTTCGGCCTTGAGGCCGGACTTCTTGCTGCCAGCAGACCGCCCCGCTGTCCCGGAAAATTCCGTAACCAGCGTCCCGCAAACAGAAGTCTCCTTTTTGCCGCCGGCCATTGTGTTGTGGCACGGGCTAGGCGACCGCTACAACTCCGACGGCATGGCACATGTGGCCGAACTCGTGGCACGGCTCTTGCCCGGCACGTATGTACACTCCATATATGTAGACGAAACGCCGGCTTTGGACGAGCGGCGGTCGCTTTTCGGGGACGCCAACAGGGCGGTGGATCTCGTGTGTGCCCAGCTCTCCAACATCACAGAGTTGAGCCTGGGCTTCGGGGCCATTGGGTTTTCGCAGGGCGGGCTCTTTCTTCGGGCTCTTATCCAAAGATGCCCTTCAATCGCGGTGTCCAAACTCGTGACGTTTGGCTCGCCCCACATGGGCGTTCTGGAGCTTCCCGTGTGCCAGCCACCAGACGATTGGGTGTGCCGGAAGCGCAACCAGTTGTTGAAAGCACAGGTTTGGCAGGACTCCGTGCAGAAAACAGTGGTGCCGGCCCAGTACTTCCGGGACCCCGGCCAATACGAGCGGTATTTGGAGCACTCCAATTTCCTAGCGGCCGTGAACAACGAGCGGCCGTCCGAAGGCTCGCGGGCGGCCAAGCGGCGCTTCGAGCGCTTGCAGAAACTCGTCTTGATCAAATTTGCCCACGACTCCACCTTGGTGCCGAAAGAGAGCGCCTTTTTCCAGGAAAGACATGGCCTCACCGGCCAAGAGGTGCCCATGACCGGCACGCGGGTCTACCGGGACAACCTCTTTGGATTGCGCACATTGCACGAGGCGGGCCGGATCGAGTTTCACACTGTGGACGACGAGCACATGCAGTTTTCCGACGACTTCTTCCTGAAAATCGTCTCTGACCACTTTGCCGGAGAGCCGGCGGGCCCGCCTCTGTATGCAGGACGCCCGTCTCTCACGGCGATGGTGGATGCAAGACCGGCCGGGGCAAGGCCTCGGTGTGCTCCCACAAAACTGCCATGTCTGACCGTGTAGCGCGTTTGGCGGAAATACGAAGAAAAAGAAAGGCGCAGGAAGCAGGGGGGGTCTCTGTGGGCGCTGGGCCTGGGGCCGTGGTCCGAAACGACGAGACCCTGGAACGGGCCGTACACGTGACAGGTGCAGCCGGCGAGGAAGCGACAGGAGAGGGAAATGAAGCAATGAGTGAGAGAAGTGAAGTAACGGAAGAGGGAAGTGAATTAAGGGAAGAGAGAAGTGAAGCAACCGAAAAGAAAACTGAAGCAACCGAAAAGAGAACTGAAGCAGCCGAAAAGAGAACCGAAGCAACCGAAATGAGAACTGAAGCAACCGAAAAGAGAACTGAAGCAACCGAAAAAAGAACCGAAACAACCGAGCGAGACGCAGAAAAGACAAAAGAGGACAGTGAATCCAGAGGGGACGAGGAAGAAGCCCCAGGGGACGGAAGCAAGGACCAGGATCAAAACCACAATGCCCCAGATGCGAAGCCAGACTTGCCGAAAACACCAGGCCTGGCCAGCACAGACTCCTCACTGGCTACCGAGGCCCCCGCAGAGACCTTGACGTACAACAGTGATCTCAAACGGGACTTGATGCCGTACTTGAAGAAAGCCCGGCTCGACACAGAGATGGAGTTGAACCGCATTCTACAGGAGCGGTTCAGAGAGGCCGCAGCGGCCAAAACGGAGGAAGAGGTCTGAGAGGAAGGATTCTGTGGAGCCAAAAAAAAAAAAGCCTGGAGAGCTGATGCCGATTTTCCGAGCTTTTAGAGATCAAGGCCCCAATTGGCACCCCAGCTGGTGCTGCCGCGCTTCTCGTCTTCCTGCGCAGGCCACCCATACCCAGCAAAGGGCACCTGGACTTATGAAGGGCCCGCCAAAAAGCGCCGCCGCTTCCTTATTTCTTGCCCTTCTATGGCCAGCCGGCCGGCAGTGGCGCCCAAATTGTGTTCCATCTTTGAAAAAAAAAAAAAAAAACCCTCGTGGACAAAACTGGCGGTCTCTATTATCTTGTTGGCGGAGCCGGCCCATGCCTTCGCGCACAGCAGTGGCCAACGTCCGCATTGGGCCGTGCGAGAACTGCCCAATGAAATCGCGCCCTGAGGGTGCCCGGGCTCGCTGTGCCGGATTCCGTGAAAAGACTCGAATTCGAGGAAAAAAGATCCACGGCTCCCCAGAACCAGTGTTTTCAGCAATCCCGAAAAATGGCCCTTATCTCCAGAATTGCCACCAGAGCCGCCCGCCCAGCGCTTTTTGCTGCCCGCTCTCCGTATGTCGCTTTCGATTTTGATTTTTCGTGCCGAAGCTCGACTTTTTGCTGCCAAGCTCTGCCGGCGGGTAAACCCACGAGTGGACTCCCCCGGGACTGCCAGCGCCCGACGCCCGAACTCCACGGGCCTAGATAGATATCGAAAAGCCCGCCATCAATACCTCGGTGTCTAGTTTTTTAGTCCCGTTTTTTTCTGTCCGCCATAGATGTACCACAGACCCGAATGCCAACACACATCCCAGTGCCAACACACACCCCAGCACTCAAGTCTATTGTCCCGAGAACACCGAAAAACTTTGTCCTTTTTATCGATCTAGGCGGGTACAACGTTGAAAGTCCCAAAAGAGACATCGCCGTGGCTCACGATCACCACTTTAAGAACCCCTTCATGATATCATAGCCAGATTCGAAGCCTCCCAATAGCCGGTCTCATCTTCTTCTGGGCAGAAATTAAAACAATTGGCTCTGGCCGTCCGCTTAATGGCATATTCAGAGCCTCAAGGCCAGCCCGCCCTAGCCTCAGCACCACATCGACTCGAATCCTCGAAAAATACTAACATGCGCAGAATTGGAATCCGTGCTTTGTCCACGCCAGTTGAGCCAAAGGAGAAGGCCAGCTCGATCATCAACGCCTTGCCAGGCAACAACGTGGTCTCCAAGACCGGTGTTTTGGCCACCTCTGCTGCCGCCGCCATCTACGGAATCTCCAACGAGGTGCTCATCATCCACGACGAGACCATCTTGGTCGCCACGTTCTTGGGTTTCGTCACCTTGTGCGTCAAGTTCGTCGCCCCATTGTACACGGAGTGGGCTGACGGCGAGATCAAGAGAGTCACCAACATCTTGGCCGAGTCCAGAAGCAAGCACACCTCCGCCGTCAAGGAGAGAATCGAGTCTGTCTCGCAGTTGAAGGACGTGGTTGCCACCACCAAGCAGTTGTTCGAGGTGTCGAGAGAGACCGCCAAGTTGGAGGCCGAGTCCTTCGAGTTGAAGCAGAAGATCGCCGTTGCCGAGGAGGCCAAGGCCACGTTGGACTCGTGGGTCAGATACGAGCAGCAGCAGAGACAGATGGAGCAGGAGCAGTTGATCAAGTCCGTCTTGGACAAGGTCAACAAGGAGATCGCCAACCCCAAGTTCCAGGACAGAGTCTTGGCTGAGTCTGTTGCCGAGGTCGAGAAGATCTTCGCCAAGGCCTAGGCTTCTCGCTGGACCAGAAACTATTCTTACGACAGAGAAGAACATCCACAAAATTCAAATACACATTCATCATCGCACGCTTTCTATATACCTGGTAGGCCCTCTGCGTAGAGCTTCTTGAACACGTGGTGCGCGGGCTTCCACAAGTGAAGCGAGTTGTCGTCGGCAACACTGGCCACCATCCAGTCCTCGTGCAACGACCAGTCGAAGTCGTTGACGCCAAGCATATGGCCCTCGTGGCTGAATAGGAGCGCGTCGGCGGGCTCGGACATATCGAAGATCTTCACCAGGCGATCGGCCGACGACGAGCCTAGGATGGCCGGGAACCTCGGGTGCCACTTCACCTGCGTGATGGCGTCCAGATGCGCCGGAAGCACCCGGGCACTTTGCAGCAAGGCCCGGAGATCCCATACTTCGATCTGGCCCTGTGAGTCGCCCGAGGCCACACAGAAGTCGCTGCTGGGATTGATGCTGACGCTGTTTTTCGGCACCGAGCCTGCCAGCGTCTGGAGCGGCGTGCCCGGAGCACGCGTATCAAACACGGAAAGCGCCCCGGCGTCGTCCGCGGCCAAGAACACGGCGTCGTGCTTCGCCGCCCACTCTATATCGTTGATCGCGGCCGCGTGCTGTGCCGTCCAGGTTTCGTGAATCACGTTGGCGGAGCTGCGAGCAGCGTAGTTTCCTTGCACGTCAAAGACGTTGATCTGGCCGTCCATGGACGCCGAGACCACCACGGACTGAGCCTGCCTGTTCCAGTCGAGGGCGAAGATATCGGTGGCTCTCGCGCCACTGCTGTTGACGAGGCGAAGCTGCGGCTCGTTGATCCTCAGCTCCTCGCCGAGTTTGCGGATGGTGGCGTGTTTCGTCCGGTTGTACACGGACAAGTCCCCCACGTTGTTGGCGCTGGCCAAAACGTCCGGGTTTTGCGGCATGTACCGGAGCCTGTTGACGTCGCCGTGGTGGTTGATCAGCTGGAGCACCCGGGGCTTCGTTTTCGACACCGTCGGGAGCTCGAACTCCTCCTTCTCGGAGTTGTACGCCCAGTGGTCGGTGTTTATGCACCGGTTCAAGTTGCGGTAGTACGGCACCTGGTACAAGTGGATGGCGTCCACGGCCTGGCCCAAGGTAAACGTGCCGAGGAGCAATCTCTGATGGGCAAGCTGCGTGGACAGTTGCAGTTTCGGGGCCGCCGGAGGGGGCACGGTGGCGCCGGGCGCATTTGCATCGGGCACCTCGAGATCGGGGAAAAACTGCACGGACAACGACGGCCACAAAAGCGAGTTTGTGCAGAGGTAGTCGTAGAGGTACGGGCTGTTTTTCTTGAACACCCGGTACCGGTGCTGGGTGGCCTGGTCAATGGCATCCGGGGCCCCGGTGTCGCTGGTGCCGCCGGTCATTTCGAGCAGAGGCAGGCTTTGGGATTCCATGGGGGAATTGAAAAGAAAAGCGGAGACGGGTTTGGGAGACTGCAGCCCGGGGCTGTTGTATGGGCGAGTTTATGTGTGGAAATCCTGGTGGGGAAAGTCTGGCTCTGGTGTAGAAACGCGTCTGAGACTGGCGTGGCCAGAGCGCGCGAGTCTTGGAATGGCCGATGGTGAGAAGCGGTGGAGACGAGCGAGTGATGATTCCGGCTGATTTTGGCGAGTCGTCGTTTGGAATTTTGACTTTTGGGCATTTTTATGTTGCTTTTTTTTTCAGCAGTGTTTGGTTTCTGTTTGTCCGTTGTCTTCCAGTATGGATGGCATCTTTCTTTTCTTGTTTTTTAGAGAGGCCAGTTCTTTCTCTTCTAGACTTTTGGATCGGCCAGTTCTTTCTCTTCTTCTCTTGCAGAATGGCCGGCTTCGTTTTCTTCTTGTCTTTTCGAAAGGCCAGTTTTTTTTCTTCTTTTTCTTCTTTTTTAGAGTAGCCGGCTTCTTTCTTTTCTTGTCTTTTAGGGAGGCCAGTTCTTTCTCTTCTAGACTTTTGGATCGGCCAGTTCTTTCTCTTCCTCTGTCTCAGAATGGCCGGCTTCGTTCTCTTCTTGTCGTTTAGAGAGGCCAGTTCTTTTCTTTCTCTTGTTGTCTTTCAGATTGGCCGAGTCTTTTCTTTCTCTTCTTCTGTTTCAAAATGGCCGGCTTTTGTTCCCTTTTCCTTTCTTCCTTCCAGCTGAGGTCTGCTGACATGTCGTTTCTCTGCCACTCTTCCAGCTGGTTTTGTTCCCGCGAGGTTTCATTTCCTGTGGTTCTCTTGGATTCCACGCCAGATTAGTCAGGTTACAGGCTGCGCAGACGTGCGGGCGTGGAAATGATGTCTCCACATTGTCCATCCACGGCCCAGAACAGACAGTTTCCGTTCAATCAGCATCCCGTAGCCGGCGAGCGTTAGGATTATCTAGTAGACAGCACAGGCAAGAGTGCAGTAGTCCAAACACTCGCATATTCCGTCCACCAAAGCATACTGAGTTGCCGAACGGTGGACAACTCGTCGGCCCGTCCATGCACGTCTGCATACGCTGTCCATCCACCCCACAGGAAAAGCTGTCCTCCACTCTCCGTCGGTCCAATGCCCCACATCCAATGGACCTTTCGAGCCTACTTCTCTCCTGCCATTCCAGTCTCTTTATCTGCCACTCCAGTCTCTTTTTCTGCCACTTCAGTCTCTTCGCCCGCCACTCCAGTCTCTTCGCCCGCCACTCCAGTCTCCGTTTCCAGCAGGCCAGCCTCGGTCCCCCCCATCCCAGCCGCTCCCGCCATTCCAGCCACGCTGGAGCCGGAACTGGCGCGGCCCATCCGCAGAAACAACGCGCTGACCACGGACGGAAAGTCCAGGTTGAACACCGCGGCCTCGGATGCCAAGAACAGCGAGAGCCCCGCCAAGTACTCGTCGATGTTCTGGGAGCCGACCGAGCCCTGGTCCTGCGCATGCGAAAACTCCGACTCCGGCGTGCTCTGGTCGAACACATCGTTGAGAATGTGGCTGAGCTTGATGAGCTCCGAGTAGTTGTTGTAGATGATCGACTTGCGCTCCAGATCGTGGCCGTTGAGCCTGTTGGCCGCGGCGTTGCGCACCCGGAGAACGTCCCGGGCGCCGGCCGTCTTGAGGAACTCGTCCATGGCCTTGTCGTCGCCAAGCGTCTGCAAGAGCAGATCCACGTCCTGGTCCTCGGCGCCGGAGCCGTGTTCCGGCGTGCCGATGCTCTGGTCGCCGGCAGTGTCAGCGTGGTTTGGAGGGCCAGGCGCATTGTTGGCCGGACTGGTCGGGCGGGCCGCGTCCAACTTGTAGAAATCCTGGAGCGCTTTGCGCCTGCTCAGCACCTTGCGGGACCCGCCCAAAGTCGGGGTGCCCGGCACGGAGGTGGGCGTGGCTGGCGCCAGGAAAGCGGGCGAGCTGACGGCGCTGTCTGCGTTGTCGGCAGCAGCGCCAGGGAGCAGAAGCGGCGCGTTTTTTGGGCGTTTTTTGAAGGAGAGCACGGGGGCAGGGGCCTGGGCGTGAGACATGACGATTTCGTGAGACGCCCGGGGCTTTTGGATTGGTCGGTAGTATGAGTGGTTTGAATTGGTCGGTAGTATGAGTGGTTTGAATTGGTGGGTAGTATGAGTGGTTTGAATTGGTCGGTGGTATGAGTGGTTTGAATTGGTCGGTAGTATGAGTGGTTTGAATTGGTGGGTAGTATGAGTGGTTTGAATTGGTCGGTGGTATGAGTGGTTTGAATTGGTGGGTAGTATGTGGTTTGAATTGGTGGATAGTATAAGTCGTTTGAATTGGTGGGTAGTATGTGGTTTTAATTGGTGGGTAGTACTGGTGGGAAGTGCTGGTGGGAAGTACTGGTGATTGGTACTGGTGGTTTGAATTGGTGGTCTGTACTGGTGACCTGTTTTTGACCTGTTTTGGTGACCTGTATGAGAGTGGTACTGGTAGTTAGTACTGGTGAGCACTGGTGGTACTGGTGGTACTGGTGGTACTGGTGGTACTGGTGGGTACTGGTGACCGGTGCTGGCGATTTGGTCCCCAGAGACAGGGCCGCGCCGAGCCGCAGGCCGCAGCCAGAATGTCCAGGGCCTGGGGCCCAGGGCCAGGGTTTTGGGGCAGGCTCCCCGGGCCGCGATCCCAGGGCCACAGGGCCCGCCGCCCGCGCGCGCAAAAACGCGACCCGGGGCCCAGCGCCCGCCATCGCCCGCCATCGCCCCCATCGCCAGCCCAGAAAGAACACTGGAGCCCGCCACCAACACCACCATGAGCGAGGAAATCCGGCTCAACGACTCCCAGTTGGGGTCCCAGGAATAGTACGTGCCCGCAACACACAGCAGGCGCCAGCCGCTCTCCGCAGCGCCCCCCGGCGCTTCTCATACTGACGCCTCTAGCTGGAACCAGTTCTACCGCAAGGAAATCGAGAACTTCGGCCAGAACGAGCAGGACACGGGCGAGTGCTGGTTCGACGACTCGGGCGCCGAGCGCAAGGTCGTCGACTTCTTCTGCCTGCTTGTGGACGAGCACGAGGTGCCGCCCACGGCCCGGCTCGTGGACTTGGGCACGGGGAACGGCCACTTGTTGTTCGAGCTTTTCGAGACCATTTGCGACGAGTGCCCCGACGCCGGGTTGCAGTACCACGGCATCGACTACTCGCCGGACTCCGTGGCGTTTGCGCAGCTGATTGCACAGAGACGGTACCCGCAGCAGCGCTTCACGTTCGAGACGGTCGACTTCATCTCGCAGGACTGCGCCTACTTGGCGGAAAACGCCGGCTCCTTCGACGTGCTCTTCGACAAGGGCACGCTCGACGCCATAGCCTTGAACAACGACCCCGTGCCCGGCTTTGGCGGCAAGATCGGCTCGCAGGTGTACCCGATCCAGGTGGAAAAGTTGATGCACGCGGGGTCTCTTTTGATCCTCACTTCCTGCAACTTCACCGAGGCCGAGCTTATCCAGCTCATCACGCAGAACGGCACCAACGCGTTGCGCGTGTGGCGCAAGATTTCCTACCCGTCCTTCAAGTTCGGTGGGGTCGCCGGCTCGACCATATGCAGCATAGCGTTCGTCAAGGACAAGTAGCACAGCGTACATAGGAAGGGTGGCTGAGAGCGGCCTGTTGTGGCCGTGTCATCCATTGAATCAAAGAAGCATGGACAGGACTTGTGTGTGTCGGCAAAGCTCGAGGACTGTAGGACGGCTCGGGTGTAAGACGGTTCAAGGAATGTAAGAAGGTTCGAGGAGTGCAAGAAGTTCAAGGAGTGTAAGAAGATTCGAGGAGTGTAAGAAGTTCAAGGACTGGAAGAAAGGGCTGGTCTGTCACTTTCTGAGGGCCTTTTCCGACTCAAGTCCAGGACTAGGGCTGGATTGTTTCTTGTCTTGCATGTTGGCGGGACAGTCATATCAACCAAATTTGCGGCGCTCAATCCCAGAACCGTTCTTCTTGATCGATTCTTTACTCACATCTGATGCAATTCCGGAACCGATCCTCATGAATTTTCCATACTATCACTTGACTCGATTCCAGGACCGTTCCTCTTGATCTTGTCCAGACTGGTTCAATAGGACCATTCATATTGATCTTGTCCAGACTATCACCTGGTTTAATTTCAGAACCGTTTCACACTTTCTTGTCCCGACTATCACCTGGTTCAATTCCAGGACCGCCCTCATGATTTTTTCCATACCATCACCAGCTTCAATCCCAGGACCGTTCCTCATAATTTTGTCCAGACTATCAATCAATGCCAGCGACTCCTTCCGGTCCTCGCACTTGACTCAATCCTAGCGCCTTGTTTTGGCTTTCTCATTCTTTCCACGACAATCAATCGCATTCACATCTGCATACCTCCTCCCGTAGCATCTCCAGTAGAGCCTCCCGCACCCATTGCGAATCGCCTCTCGCAACTGGTCTCCGCTCTACTCGTTCCCAGGATCCACATTGGTACTGAGCCTCTGCAACGTGGTATTCTCGCCCCCGGCCTCGTTTTCGCTAGAGTCAGAAATGAAGCGGAACCCCGTGGCCGGCGGCTGTGCGGCCGTCTCCGGCTTGGGACTGGCCGCCAGCTTGATTTGCTCTTTGAGCTCAGAAACCTTGTCCACGAGCGCATCTCGGATCTCCTCGCTCAGAAACTTGAGCATGTACTGCACCGGCTTGCCCTCCGCAGACACCGCGGTCATGCGCAAGAACTTGCCCGGCGAAAGACTGGCCTCCAAGCCTTTGAGGAGCGTGGTGGTCTGCGAGATTTTGTAGTTCAAAATCACACGCAACAACCCATTGGAGCGCATGACCAAGCGCGCCTGGGCCGGGTCCTGGATGGCCTGGTTCACGTGGACGGGGCCGCGGCCCCTTTCTTTCCAGCCCTCGCTGATGTTGGAGAGATCCAACTCAAACAACTTGGCCGTGGCCGAGTACACGGACTTCTCGTTTTCCTCGCCCGTTTCGACTTTCTTCTCGCTCAAGTCCACCTGCTTGTATTGCTGTGAGGAAGGGCCCAGAGAGACTTCTTTGTCGGTGTCGGTTTCCTTCGGCTCGTCAAGGAAAGACTTCTTTTGCGACGCCTTCTGGAGCGCATTGGAGAACTTGGACCCGGCGCCGAAAGAGCCGCCGAAACTGCCAAAAGACAGCGTGGCAGGGGCAGCCTGCTCCTGGGCCGCTTCCGAGGGCTTGGCAGCGGCATCAAACACATTGGTGTTGTTTTTCATCCGGTCGAAAATCGAGGCATTGCCAAAAGTACTGGCGGCGCCAAACACCGGCTTTGCCGAGCCGGGCAGCGCGGTGGTGCCGAAAACGGGTTTGTCGGCGTCTGCAGAAAGGGGCGCCGGGTTGTTTTGTTCTTTTTCCGCCGTGCTGGTGGTTTTTTGTGGCGCCCCATCATCGGCCAAAGACGAGGCCCTGTGCCCAGTGCTAGTGCTGTCGGACGCCAGGGCATTGACAGCGATTTCGGCGTCCAGCGGCAAGTCGGTCTTGGCTTTTTTGGCGGCGGCGTCTTGTTGCGAAATGCTTCTTTTTTTGGCAGGAGATCCGTCGGTCATTTTGGGAGCAATGTGTGGATTTGATTTGGCTGGGCCGATCGGGGTATTTCTACCTGTGCGGCCTGCGCGGCTTCAGGGCCCGGGGCCTGAAGAAAAGAGCGCGGAGAAACCGATGGGGCCAGCCGCAAAAAAAGTGGCCCTGGCTTCCGGCCTGCGGGCCTGGGGGTACACTGCCCCAGCAGCTCCCAGCAGAGGGGAGGACAAGAGTTTACGCTTTGGGCCCAGAGTCTGGGAGTAAAATGAAGTAGTTGAGGTAATTGAAGTAGTGAGGTATTGAAGTATTAGAGTAATTGAAGTATTAGAGTAATTGAAGTATTGAGGTATTGGAGTATTAGAGTAATTGGAGTATTAGAGTAATTGGAGTATTGAGGTATTGGAGTATTAGAGGAATTGGAGTATTAGAGTAATTGGAGTATTAGAGTAATTGAAGTATTGAGTAATCGAAGTATTAGAGTAATTGAAGTATTGAGGTATTGAAGTATTAGAATAATTGGAGTAATTGAAGTTTTGAAGTAGTTTAAGTGCTTGAGGTAATTGAGCTAATTGAGGTAATTGAGGTATTGAAGTAATTGAAGTACTCAAATCAATTGAAGCACTCGAACTAATTGAAGTGCTTGAAGTAGAATGATGAGGCTGTGGTTTTGGAGTCTTTGTTTCTATGGTGGAGGAGAGACGTGGACTTCATGGTCTGCGGTGCGGGCCTTTGCCAGAGGATGCGAAGAATGAGAGTAATGAAAGTAGTTTGATTAGACTAGAATGGTTTGATCAGACCAAAATAGGCGTCGGCTTGGCTTGAATACCCAAGAAAAATCCCATGTGTCTGTATCCTGCTTCATCTTGTTTTTCATTTTTCATTTTTCTGGAAATCAGAGTTGGTTAGTCCCTGGACGTTCAGCTGGTTCCGGTAGGTGGCCCCAGGCCTGAGCGAGATTCGCGCTGGATGGGCTTGGGCCAGGAAATTGGCCCCAGAGAAGATCCATTAGGCGGTACCCAGATCCAGGCAGCACCCAAATTGTTTAGACGATGAAACGAGAAAAGAAAATTAGGGAGCGTCCAGCCCAGAGTTTTTGTTGCTGGGAGAATTTCAACGCGGTGTGTCAAAAAACATGCATTCGCTTCACCAGAAGGGTCTGGTATACATGGCCCATGGACCAGGCGGGCCACGTCTCCGAATCGCCGATTCTTGCAATCCCCATCTATGCCTCTACGGCTCCAAACAACACGTTCTTCTCGATTTTGCCTTTTTAAAGAAAGCCCGGATGGGAACCGAAATGCCGACGTCGCAGCTTGTTTGATTAATTGCTGCGAAACAACCGGGGAGTATGAGCCATAAAAAAAAAAAATCTCGACATGGGCGTCCAGAGGCCCTGTTGATGGTATTCTTGGAATCTCGTTTGTTCTGGTGCGTCGTTGGTTTTCCTCTCGAATGGAGCGTAGCATATTTCAACCACCTAGTTTTTGATATGCTCAACAACCCAGCAGAAGGAAAAAGCCCCCACCTCAAAGCATCCACCCCTTCCCTCATCCCGGACCTCATGTCCTCGAACCCATATGGTGCCATGCACCCGATAGAAGAAACAGCTGCCTGGACTCTGTACCACGACCAGCATACAAAACCCCCTCCATATCGAAAATACGACTTTGGCGTTGCGTACAGGAAAATAGGAAGAGTGTACTTGGTTTTAGGGTGCCTGATTGTGTTTGGGATATGTGCCTGGAAACTAGTGTATTTCTTGGCTCGTCAGATCAGCGGCGGCTTGAACTAGTAAATGCAGAAAGATGCGGGGGTCGTTGTAAGGCACGGCCGAGGTGAAACACGACCCTATCGCAAGAGATGAATTGAAATTGCCAGGATGGTTTTGGATTCGACGACAAACCCTTCGATTTTTATGAAAGAAGAACAAGAACCTTTTGGCTCGCTTAGCCCGGCAAGGTGTTGAACCCATGTTCAAAGAAAGGAAAGGTGTCATTTTGGATAGACTCCCCGTATTTGCTTAGACTTGACGTCCTAATGGGAATAGAGAAGATGTTATTCAGTAGAAGCAGCAAACGTGCTCTGCAGTTCCAGCCTGGCAGTGATCTGTTGTAGAGCACATAAGTAGGAACACCATATATTAACAGCATGGGCCAATACCATCATCTGAACGCTGGCCGACAGGTCCCGCAAAAATTTAGTTTCGAGCTAGTGACTCGATTTGTTCGTAATGTCATCCCCCCTGTTTGAGGAGAGCAGAAGCAACGAGCGTGAACTGGCATATGTCCAATTTGCACTATTGCATTTGCAAGTCCATGAGCTTGGTTCCGGGTATGTCTCCTGCACCGGGCTGGATGGTCCCTTGCGTAGGTGCACCCTCTATTGTGTAGATTCACGGGTGCGCCAAGTTTGCATCGTTCTCCCCAGAGCCCTGCCTTAACCAAGTCTCAGAAAATACCGGCCGTTGGGTTTCCAGCGGCTTGTTCCGGTGACTTGCGGCCAGAGCGTTCCCCATTCTTTCGCCATTTCTTAGCTCTCGGAAGACCGCGAAGTCTGGGCGCGCCCCAGGTGATTTGGACCCCGGCCCCAAATCCGGCCCCAGGCAGTACCTGCTATATAATGCCAGGCCCGCGGCCGTTCTCACTGCACTGTCAACTCCCAGTTCCACCATGTCTACAGAGCCGCCCGTACGTAAGAGTCTGCTATTTAGCGCCAACGCCACCAAACACAAAAAGCCCACTAACCCCAGACCACAATGAGCGAAATGCAGAGTCTTCAGAAATTGAGGGCCTCGCTTGAGGCTGTCAGGGAAGCCACCGAGAAAATCCACCAGGATCTCCTTTCGGCCTCCGAAAACCAGAGGACTATCGCCACAGAGATCTCCAAGACAGCCACAGCAATTGACCGCTTGTGAACAGTCGGGGGCTGCAAAAAAAAATCTGCGTGAGGATAGCGCCTGTTTATCCCATTCTGCGTTTTTTTTGTACCTTTTTCCCATTTTGTCTTTGCCAGTTTTCGCCCCAAATAACCGCCCAGCCACCAGTGGGTGCGTGCGATTTGGGCCGGCCCGCGCTTTGTTACCCTGGGCTGTTGGAGCCAGGGCCTGTGGGGCCAGCGCCATCGGGCCAAACCCAAGGTCCTGCACACAGACGCACGCTCCTGTCACTCACTCCAGCAGAACGCTGGTTCCATGACCCCCAACAGAACAACACGATCGATCCTGCGAGTTGTCTGCTTTGATCCTTTTTTAGTTTTGTGCACAAGTCTGCTGAAACCTCTGCTGAAGCAATTTCAAGAAAAAGTGCTAACTGCCGCAGGTTGGAACGACCGCTGCCAGCAAAACTCTGCATAGACCAGATATTGTGTTATTCGGCGGAATACTAGCAACTCTTTGAACACCCGCCGCGCCACCACCAAACACACAGCTGCATCATGTCCGTGTCGTACGACGACCAGCGAGTGTGGCTGAACATCCACCAGGACCTCAAAGACGAGCTTCTCCTCCGGACGGTGAGCTTCCTTGAGTGCCTGATCTGCTCCGAGGTGATGCACGTGCCATATTTGGCCATCTGTGGCCATTCGTTCTGCTACGGCTGCCTCGATGCGTGGTTCGAGACCAAGTTGAACTGCCCCACGTGCCGCCAAGACATGGAGGAGCCGCCGATCCTCAACATCCAGTTGCGCGAGGTCAGCAAGGCCGTCACGGACTTGGTCATCGACACGCTAGAAGACGAGAAACACAAGAAAGAGCTTTTGGACGCGCGGCTGAGGCTAGTCGCCGAGTACGACCAGGCCGCCAAGACCAAGCGTTTGTTCCGCGAGGCCTTCAACTCGGCCCCCACGCTTGTGGACAGGTCTGACGGCGTGCCTCGATGCGGCAACTGCCACTGGGAGGCCCATGGCTCTGTGTGTCTCCACTGCGGGGCCCGTTTCCGCATACCCCGGGGCGACCTGTACTTCGACTCGGAAGACGGCGACGCCTACAACGAGGACGAGGAGGAGGTGGAGATGTACGGCGTGGACCATGCCAACTACGACAGCGAGGACAGTTTTGTCGACACTCGCGACGAGCGGGAAATCAACAATGACAGGGAGCAGCACGACTCGGACGGGCTTCTTTCCTCGGGCGAAGACCATAGCGACGCAGAGCTGTGGGACGGGTTCCGCCGAGACGCCGAGATGTACCGCGCACACGATGACCAGGACACAGACTTTACACATACGAACGCGGGCCTGTTCACCGACCTGGATATCGAGAATGGCCGCAACGAGGGCCGCCCCCAGACTATAGCCGTGGACCTGGGGCGGGAGCTGGGCTCCGAAGCGGACACAGACTTCCAGGACTATCCGCCCGTGCCTGTGTACCTGCCCCTGGGACTGGACCTGGTGTATGAAGACACCCATCACGCAGGGCCGCGCGGAAACGGCGAGCTCAGCGATAGCATGGAGCACGCAGTGGAGCAGTTGCATGACCAGGATGTGGAGGACTACTCTACGCACTACGAGCCTGATTTCGAGGCGGGCTCGGACTCCGACTGGGGCACGAGCGTGGCCATGGGAAGCAGGCCGCAAATCGTCTACCTGGATTCCGAATGAGTGATTGGTCCTGGGCCCGGGTGAGTGATCGGTCCGGGGTCCATGTAACTAATTGTTTTTGACACGAATTACTAATTGGTCTAGGGCCCGAATTTCCGATTGGTCTAGGGTCCGAATTATACTGATAGACACGCCGTGGTGCACGGGTGCAGCCAAGAAACGTCAATGCAAGGTTCAACGAGCGGCGGGCGAGGAGGTAGAGATGGGCGGGGATGGTAAAAACAGAAACAAGGGCTGGCGGTGAGAGTACGATTACAGGGCAGGGAGATGCCGGGCGAGAGCGGGCTGGCCGATGCACGTGGATAAATGGCCAGCCGGTGCAGGCGGCGCAGGCCTCACACCACGCGGTCGTGCGCAGCCCGGCAAATCAAGCACTCCGCCATTGGCTGAGAAGTGCGCTCCGCATCCGCTAGTCACCCGTCTTGTTCCCACACCACACGCCGAAATGAACCCACAAAGAATCATCGAATTGCAAAAGCACTACCAGAACACCAACAAGGAGTTGTGGTTGAAGGGCCCCCGTTCCAAGATGTTGGTGTACCCCTTCTACGCCATGTTCACCTTCTCCACCGCCGTCAGCTTGTACTACACCGGCAGGGCCATTGCTGGAATCAAGGAGGAGTAAGCCCCGCTTGCCCTCAGCCGCAGAACAAACGGAATGAAGTAAATACTGTATAGCTCTCAAGAATGCATTTACACCAGACACCCGTGTCGTAGTCCGCCGCCTGGTCTCCAGATGGCATAGGCCGCAACAAAGGACGAGGGTGGTATCTACGGGCTTTTTTGTGCGGGCTTTTGAAAATGACGAAAGCCGGCTGCGTGCGGCCCACCTCTATTTTGCCAGCTGTTTTACCAGTGTTTTACTAGTGATATACCAATGTTTTGTCAGGGCTGCCTGGCCGAAGAGTGGCGCGATTTTTTCCGGACGTGGGCCCATAGTCGGCCCACGTCCGCGTCACGTGACTGCCCCGTTGCGGCCGGTCCCATGTTTTCTTACAGCGTGGCCCAGTTTTTTCGTGATTATTGATTGGCAGAGGAAGTCAAGGCTTGGCCTTTCTTGGCCATGCGGGGCCTAATTTCTGGCCCTGCTCTGTGGCCCAAAACGCCAGACCGAGGCCCAGAGGACACGGCCCGGGGCTGTCCCGTCCAGGCCCGTTTAATTATACGAGCCTCGCGTTGACCCATTTTCTCTCTGCGTGACGCCTGATGGATTCACGAAACGTTGTGATTTTTTGAGTTGCATTTTGCCGGTCCGGCCCAAAATATGGACCCAGGCTCCAGAATATGGACCCAGGCCCCAGGCCCGCGCGCCGGCAGATATGGCGCCAAATATTATGGCCTTAGAATAGGGCCCCAAAATTTGGCCCAGGCCCCAGTGTATGGGCCCATGCCCCAGCAAAGGACCCCTGAAAATACCCCGAAATATGCCCGCATACATCTTGAGAGAAAAAGAGGGCTTCAATAATTTAATAATGCCAACTTGATCTTCGTCTATTCCTACATGTGTAGTTTTAAGAAAGTCATATGATACCTTAGTCATGTGATTAATTACGGCCGGAAATGCCCCAGGCCCCACGCCCGCGCGCCCGCAGAAATGGCGCCAAATTATTGCCCAGGTCCCAGACCCAATTCAAATTTGATATTTGTAGAGAATGACTAGTATTTACCCTAATAGTTATAAAATGAACTGAAAAAATTGATCAAAAAAATCTTCTAATCAAAAGATCGAATTATTGTTGGGCCAACTGATGGCTTTACTGAATTTATATTTTGAAAAGGGAGAGATGATTTGAGTATGGTCTCTACAATTGTATTTCCAAGAGAATATATAATAAATTACGCACCATCAAATATAGTCCAGGCCCAAGCAAATAGTCCCAGAAATTCCCCAAAACCAGCCCCGCATATATCGAGAGGAAAGAGGGCTCTCTTCATAATAAGGTCATTCAGGTTATCATCTACAATTGTAGCTTTTAGAAAAATATGAAATGAACTATGCACTGCTAAATATGGCGCCGGCCCTGAAATAAACTAAACAAAGCAGGATAATTATTTCAAAGTATTATATTCACATCGTAAGATGGATTTGTAGTTTGATTATTTTATAACGCTTTTGAATTTAGATCTTGAGAGAGGGAGGGTGGGCTTTCTCTGAATTTAATATGCCAATTTGATTGTCATTTATTTCTACAATATAGAGTTATATGTCATTATCGACCGCCACGCCCGAGCAAATGACTCCTGCAGAAACCCATAAATATGGCCCCAGGCACCAAATCTAATATATGCAAAGGATGACTTGTATTCACCCCGGAAATTGTAAACTAAGATAAACTGATCAAACTAGAACTAATCAAGCAGTAAAACTGACTTGTAAAAGATATATTTATTGGGCATTTAAGTGATAACTGCACTGAAGAGGAAGAGAGAGATTTCTTTCAATTGAAAAATGCCATTTTGAGTCTCATCTATTTTAAAAATTGTACTAATAAGGAAGTCATCTGATAAATCACGCACCGCCAATATGACCTGAGGCCCCAAAAGTGTGGCCAACCCCAATCCCCAAGCTTTTATGTGTTAAGGAAGAACCGTCTTCACCGCAAAAGTTATTATCTAGACTAAGCTAAACAGGGGTTTTGATTCGAAGTAGCATTATTATATTGAAAGATAGATTTATGAATTAATTAATCAGTCATTTTATTTAATGTGTATGAGGAGGAGATAGAATGCCATTTTGATTACCATCTAATTTACAATCGTAGTGTTAACAAAGTTATACGATGAATCACGCACCACCACGCCACAGAAAATACCCCAGCAAACCCCGAAAGTTGGCTCCGCATACATCTTGAGAGAGAGACAGGGCTTTCTTCTCATTTAGCAATGCTGTTTCGAATGTCATTCATTTTCACAAACCTAGTTTTAAGAAAATTATACGATACATTAGTCACATGCTAAATTACGGCCCCAAAATGCCCCAGGCCCGCGCTCCGGCAGAAATAGCGCCAAATATATGGCCTCAAAATTCTGCCTCAGAACATGGCCCCAGGCCCCAGGCCCCAAATGTAATATATGTAGACGATGACTTGTATTCACCCCAGACGATGTAGACTAAAAGGAAGCTATCTAAACCAGACTCAACTTAGCAGGGTATTTTACTCAAAATATCATTACTTTAATCAAAAGACATATTTATCGTTTAATTAAGTTATATTATGACTTGATTTATATCTTGAGATGGAAAGAGGACTCAGTTCCAAAGTTACAGTGCCATCTCGATTATCATCTATTTCACAGTTCTAGTTTTTAGAAAGTCTTATATGATAAATGTGCACCGCCAAATATGACGCCAGGCTCCAAGTCTAATATATAAAAAGGATGGCTTGTATTCGCCCCAATAGATATGAACTAAACTAGACTAAACTAAACTAGACTGAACTAAGCAGAGTAATTAATTCGAAGCAGCATAGTTATTAATGGATAGATTTATGAATGAATTGATCAATCGTTTTATTGAATGTGTATGAGAGCGAGATAGAGCTCACTCAAAATTTAATAATGTCATTTCGGTTACCATCTATCTTAAAAAGATAGTGTTGACAAAGTTGTATGATAAATGACGCACGGCCAAATATGCCCCACGGTCCAGCAAAGGGCCCCTGAAAATATCCCAAAATATACCCCGCATAGATCTTGAGAGGAAGAGACGGCTCACTTCGAGTTTAGTAATGCCAACTTGATTTTCATCTATTTTGAAAATGCAGTGTTACGAGAACTGTATAATCAACTACGCATCGCCAAAGATGGCACCGGCTCGAAAATGGCGCCAAAGTGTGGCCTCAGAATAGGGCCCCTGAAAATACCCCGCTTATGGCCCTGCATAAATCTTGACAAGGACAGTGGAAAATCTATCAGTTTAACAGTTCCATTTTGATTCTTTCCTACTTCTATAATTGTGGTTTTAAAGGGAGTATATGATAAATTAGGCATATGATCAATACGGCCCCGAAATGCCCAGGCCCCATCCCCGCGCGCCGGTAGAAATGGCCCAAAAACAAAGTATTGTCCCAGGCTCCGAAATATGGGCCCAGACCCCAATGTATGGGCCCATGCCCCGCAAAGGGCTGAAAGTACCTCAACTATGGCCCACCATATCTTAAGAGCAAGAAAAGACTCACATCCGGCTTAGAGATGCCAAACAGATTATTATCTATTTTGCAATTGTAGGAGAATTATATGATACATGAGACATACGATAAAATATGCACTGCCAAGTATGCACCGCGCCCCAGCAAATACCCCAAAGTATGGGCGCGCATAAATCTTGAGGGAGAGAGGGCCCACCTCCAACTCACCAAGGCCTTATTGATTCTTATCTATTTTACAATTGTGGTTTAAAAGAAGTATATGCTGAATTAGACATATGATGAATTGGGCATATGATGAATTAGACATATGATGAATTAGACATATGATGAATTGGGCATATGATGAATTAGACATATGATGAATTAGACATATGATGAATTAGACATATGATGAATTAGGCATATGATGAATTA